TCCAAGAGGAAGCCGGCGATGTAGCAGCAAATGCAAGGCACCCGGAGGCCAAACCCAGCGATCGCCAGTGAGGCAGAAGGAACGTCCCCGAAGAAACCAGAACAGCTGACGAAGCCAAACCCGACGTGGCGGGTAGACCATCACAGCAAAGTTCAGGCTCCCACACAAACCCTCGAGCAACCATCGGGTGACCCGGGAGCTTCCCAGAAATAGGCGAAGGCAGAGCCTTTGCCTATTTCACTGCGGCTAAAGCAGAGCCTCCAGAGAGAGAGACAAGGAAGCAGTCTGAGAGTCCCACACAAAACCCAGCCAAGACCGAACCTGAGAAGGAACCAGATGGGACTTCCTCCAGTTCGCCAGGAACTTGAACCCGGCGAGCTAGGAAAGAACCAAATCCCCTGTGAGCACACACGCGGTCTTGCTGGGAGCCCATACTCCTACCTTCGTCGAGGCAGACCAGAACCCGTACCCCTAATAGATGCAGACAGGGGTCACAATGACCCTAGTAAGGCGTGTGAATATGCGAGGTACTAGATTAAAGCCAAATGGAAGGCAACGAAAGGGGTAAGCCTAACACCCCACAGCAAAACCGAGCTGATCCCTGAACCCTGGATGAAATGGGACGTGCCAATACGCATCCCAGAGGTCCAGGGACATCATCCAAGCGCCTGGCTCCAAGAGGAGACGGACCTGGGTCAGAGCAGTCATCCAAAAAGAGGGGCAATAGACCCCCAGGGGTTCAGACGGGACAAGTCCAGAATGAACCACAGGTCCGTGCAGTCTCATTTCGGAACCAGGTGGAAAACCCCACCTGAGGGACGAGGTTGTTTCGATCAATTCCAAGCGAATCCACTCTGAGATGAACCGACAGAGTGCAGGAGAAGAGGCCTGCCCCGCCAACCCTAAACTTCTAGAAGGAGGAGGGTCCACCCAACACCATCGAAGGTTGCACGAAACGACCCGAAAGGCCCAGAAATCGTGAGACCATGCATGAGCAAACAGCGTAAGCTTCCCTCCCCATCGCCCTGTCAATGGGATCAACTGCGAAAGGACCGACACCCCTCAGATGATCCTGACCTCCTCACAGAGCGAACACCTCCAAAGAGCCAGAGCTCAACCCCCGCAAACACAACTAGGCGAGTACCTCGCTGACCAGACGAAGACAGTTCCGAAGGTTGCGCCGGTTCCAAAACTGGAACCACTGGCCTACTACGACAGGAGGAACCCCGAGCTCTGGCACTACCCTTTTGGGAAGAGCCCCCATGGGCTCCTATCCCTGGAAAACCAACAAGTCGGACACGCGACGACAACTGGAAGAAGTTGTCTGCAGATACTGCACCACCACAGACTCTGCAAATAGGAAAGGACGAAATGGCGAAGAAAATCTGAGACCCAGTGTCCAAGCGGATTCCACGGAGGTAGCAAGCACTGCCTGCCGATACGCAAGACGGGAAGCAAAAACAGCAACACCGCATCCCACAGGATCGGCGCGAACAGCTTCAAAAGAGCAAACGACGTGCACATCGCCAAGACCAATGCACCAGACCCAGGATCGACCCCAAGTGCCTCCACGTCCTCCTCAAGCCAGTTCAAGGCCAGCACAAGAAGGGAAAGGAACTGCAAGACCTCTGCCAACAGGCCATGGGCACGCAAGTCCTCAGCAATGAGGGCAGCCAACAGGGTGGAACCTGTACGTGAAGCTGCACAGTGCCAACATCCCGAAGAAGGGCAGGGGCGAACAAGCAAGCATCAAGGTGTTCAAATTCGCCCCCAGGAAAACCTTGTCCACCATATGAGCCTCGTGCCACTGAAGCGCATGGGAGCATCACAACGCCATGTATGCCATGCTTCCAATGAGAAAAAGGGGCAGTCCACAAGCCCAGACAAATACGGAACCTTATAATGAACTTAGTAAGGAAAAAAAGATCCAAACACAAAAGAAGGATACATTATAGAGGCATAATCCAGGTCACACAGGAGATAAGCCGCATTAGCCTCCTGCACCACATGAGGCGGGATGCGGGAGGGCAAAATCCTCCAGAATGACGGGACTGAATGGTCGAACGCATGTGTTGGCACTACGGTCCGGGTTTTGTGACCTTATTTGTGTCATTTGACTGCTAGGATATTTGTCATGTTGCTATAATGTATACCATGGATCATTTCTACTGTTGTGCATCATTTATACCAGGTGGTAGGTGCTTTTTTATGTCTTAGTGAGGTGGGTACCTGAGGATCTTAAGTAATGCCACTGTGATGTGTATGATATCAATTCCTCATTTGTTAATGATTGTGACACTATCACCCTGTACTGGTATTAGCAACATAACAGGCGCTATTGTCCCACTGTGCCAGGATAGAGCGTGGTGTCAGCTAGTGCTGATTGTATGCAGTTATAAGACCTGTTGATGATCATGCCCAGCTGATAAGAAGCTGGATAAGTAACCGAGTGTGATTAATTAGAGATTGTATTCTTTTTTATTCAGGAATTAATTTTTATGTTATGTATAATGTTATGTTGACTTATGTTAATGCCCAGTAAACTGGAATACTTTTTTGCTAGACTTATTGATGTTTGGCCAGGGTATGTTTTCCAGTGATGCTGTAGGTTCACTCCCACTTAACATAGATTTATATTGGGAATTCATAACACCCGGGTCGATGGTGTCACCGGCCAAACAGGCAGCATGATGGTGGCAAAAACGGTGAGTGTCACTCTGAGACAAGGGAACAGAGCAACCTTCAAACTCGCACAAAGTGAGAAGGGACCCATGCGTCGCATCCATTGGACCAGAGAGCCCCCACGGGGTTTCCTCGGGCCCTTTATTCGTGCAATCTCGCTAAGGAAAGCCCAGGCAGGGCAATGCTAACTGGCGCCCAAAAGTTACCAATGAAAATGCTAAAGCTGAACCCCCGGGACATGTACACCCACAGGGGCCTAGTGGAAGACCACCAAGATATAAATGCGTGTGACCAAAACCAAGGGGCAAACCCCCTACCAGACAACAGCAGCAGGAGCAAAAAAAAAAAAAAAAGCAAGAGGACTACATACCCAGTCGGAACAGTCAGCCACTACGAGAGGTGAAAACTATCTGCACAGTACTCTGCGTCCCAACCAGTGATGAAATTACCCCCTACCCACAGGCAAACAGTTGTGAAAGAGACACCCCAGCTGACTCCAAGAGCAATCACCGAGCAGCAATAGACCTTGTGGAGGTAGACCCCAAGGTGACTTGGGGAAGGTGGCCTCAAGCCCCAAGGGCAGTACTTGTCAACCCATGTCTTGCTATTTTCAAACAATACTGTTTTTTGACCAAGTTGTATAATTGCTGATTTCTGCCACGTTTCCCCCCTCCTTTTTTTTCCTTTTTCTGCACAATTTATACTTTAATCTCAATTAGTATTAAGCTTCAGTGTAAGTGTTTTTTTGCCCACACCTTGCCCAAAATGCTGTGCATATTAGTGGCTTTAGGTATTGTATGTACTAGCTCTATCTATAAGTCCAACATTATGTTTCTAACTCATCTTCTATGTACTTTTACCAGAATGAACATTTTGATTTTTATACTTACAGGGCACCTAGGGAAGGGAACCCTAGGTGCATGCAGCCTGAGTACTTGCAAAATAACTCCTGGCTTGCATACCATCAGACAGTACCACACCATGTAGAGACACTACAGGAATTAAACCTCACGTCACTGGGAGACAGAAGAGTTAGAGGGGACATGATCACCACATACAAGATTCTCAGAGGAATTGATAGAGTAGATAAAGACAGACTATTTAACACAAGGGGCACATGTACTAGGGGACACAGATGGAAATTGAGTGCCCAAATGAACCATAGAGACGTTAGAAAGAATTTTTTCAGTGTTAGAGTAGTGGACAAATGGAATGCATTAGGAAGTGATGTGGTGAAGGCTGACTCCATACACAGCTTTAAGTGTAGATATGATAGAGCCCAGTAGGCTCAGGAACCTGTACATTAGTTGATTGACCGTTGAGAGGTGGGACCAAAGAGCCAGAGCTCAACCTGCTTGATGGGGTTCTGGGAGTTCTTCTACTCCCCAAGCCCGGCCCGAGGCCAGGCTCGCCTTGTGAGAATTTGGTCCACTAGGCTGTTGCTTGGAGCGGCCTGCAGGGCCACATACCCACCACAGCCCGGCTGATCCGGAACTTCTCTTAGAAAACAGTCCAGTTTTCTCTTGAAGATGTCCATGGTTGTTCCTGCAATATTTCTTATAGTCGCTGGGAGGACGTTGAACAACCGCGGACCTCTGATGTTTATACAGTGCTCTCTAATTTGTGCCTATGGCACCTCTGCTCTTCACTGGACCAATCTTGCATTTTCTTCCATATTGTTCACTCCAGTATGGCAGACCCCCGCAAGCACAACTAGGTAAGTACAACTAGGCAACTAGGAAAGTACACCACAAGCCACAGAACTGGAAACACAGGAGCCAGAGGTGCATGAACTTGCCAGTTCACATCAGCCACAGAACTGGGGTGGATAGCCAGCGAGGGGGTCTGGGGCTCCCCCTTCCCCCTCCTGGCGAGGGGGGGGGGTTGTGCAGACAGCAGCATGGTGCCGTCATGCTCGTTTGCTCGTTTTCATTTGGGGAGTTCTGTCCATTCATTTGTCTATTTTCATCATTTTAAACCAGAATATGGGTTTGTTTTGAGCTGCTTACCTTTCTGGGTGCCAGACCCAGTTGATAGTAGACATGGAATGCTTGCAACCACAGGGGGGGTTTCTATAGGCTATTGCTCCTCATGCCTCACTGAGGGGGGGCGAAGTTCTGACTCGTGGTCTCCGGTAGGCGAAGAACTTCATGCACATTGACTGATGCCAGGATCTAATACATTCATATCAGCCTGGTTAAATCTGGGAAGTCGAAGGGGCACCCCCCAGAAAAAACTACTGAAAAATGGATGAACATGTAGAATTTATAAGATTGAGTATCCCATTTTATAATGGCAAATTATATTAAGTGTCTTACCTTTGCACTTTGGTTGCAAGGCTTTGGCTGCAACAGCAATCCCGGATGTCATGCCCCCTCCACTGATAGGTACTAGTATAGCATCCAAATCTGGTACCTATATAGGGAAATCATGGCAATATACAGTACACACACACACATATATACATATACATATATATATATATATATATATATATATATATATATATATATATATATATATATATATATATAACTGAAAACTCACACCCCAGAAGTGACTCGAACCCATACTCCCAGGAGAAACGCAACTGGTATGTACAAGACGCCTTAATCCACTTGACCATCACGACCGGACATAATGAGGTGATAGCCGAAGCTATTTGAACCCCCCCACCGCCAGCACTCGGATGGTAATCTTGGGCATAGCATTTTACCAAATCACCTCATTCTTTGGGGCACACGTGAGGAACACAAATGCGAACAAGCCTGAATGGTCCCCAGGACAATATGCAACTGAAAACTCACACCCCAGAAGTGACTCGAACCCATACTCCCAGGAGCAACGCAACTGGTATGTACAAGACGCCTTAATCCACTTGACCATCACGACCGGACATAATGAGGTGATAGCCGAAGCTATTTGAACCACCCCACCACCGGCACTCGGATGGTAATCTTGGGCATAGCATTTTACCAAATCACCTCATTCTTTGGGGCACACGTGAGGAACACAAATGCGAACAAGCCTGAATGGTCCCCAGGACAATATGCAACTGAAAACTCACACCCCAGAAGTGGCTCGAACCCATACTCCCAGGAGCAACGCAACTGGTATGTACAAGACGCCTTAATCCACTTGACCATCACGACCGGACATAATGAGGTGATAGCCGAAGCTATTTGAACCACCCCACCGCCGGCACTCGGATGGTAATCTTGGGCATAGCATTTTACCAAATCACCTCATTCTTTGGGGCACACGTGAGGAACACAAATGCGAACAAGCCTGAATGGTCCCCAGGACAATATGCAACTGAAAACTCACACCCCAGAAGTGACTCGAACCCATACTCCCAGGAGCAACGCAACTGGTATGTACAAGACGCCTTAATCCACTTGACCATCACGACCGGACATAATGAGGTGATAGCCGAAGCTATTTGAACCACCCCACCGCCGGCACTCGGATGGTAATCTTGGGCATAGCATTTTACCAAATCACCTCATTCTTTGGGGCACACGTGAGGAACACAAATGCGAACAAGCCTGAATGGTCCCCAGGACAATATGCAACTGAAAACTCACACCCCAGAAGTGACTCGAACCCATACTCCCAGGAGCAACGCAACTGGTATGTACAAGACGCCTTAATCCACTTGACCATCACGACCGGACATAATGAGGTGATAGCCGAAGCTATTTGAACCACCCCACCGCCGGCACTCGGATGGTAATCTTGGGCATAGCATTTTACCAAATCACCTCATTCTTTGGGGCACACGTGAGGAACACAAATGCGAACAAGCCTGAATGGTCCCCAGGACAATATGCAACTGAAAACTCACACCCCAGAAGTGACTCGAACCCATACTCCCAGGAGCAACGCAACTGGTATGTACAAGACGCCTTAATCCACTTGACCATCACGACCGGACATAATGAGGTGATAGCCGAAGCTATTTGAACCACCCCACCGCCGGCACTCGGATGGTAATCTTGGGCATAGCATTTTACCAAATCACCTCATTCTTTGGGGCACACGTGAGGAACACAAATGCGAACAAGCCTGAATGGTCCCCAGGACAATATGCAACTGAAAACTCACACCCCAGAAGTGACTCGAACCCATACTCCCAGGAGCAACGCAACTGGTATGTACAAGACGCCTTAATCCACTTGACCATCACGACCGGACATAATGAGGTGATAGCCGAAGCTATTTGAACCACCCCACCGCCGGCACTCGGATGGTAATCTTGGGCATAGCATTTTACCAAATCACCTCATTCTTTGGGGCACACGTGAGGAACACAAATGCGAACAAGCCTGAATGGTCCCCAGGACAATATGCAACTGAAAACTCACACCCCAGAAGTGGCTCGAACCCATACTCCCAGGAGCAACGCAACTGGTATGTACAAGACGCCTTAATCCACTTGACCATCACGACCGGACATAATGAGGTGATAGCCGAAGCTATTTGAACCACCCCACCGCCGGCACTCGGATGGTAATCTTGGGCATAGCATTTTACCAAATCACCTCATTCTTTGGGGCACACGTGAGGAACACAAATGCGAACAAGCCTGAATGGTCCCCAGGACAATATGCAACTGAAAACTCACACCCCAGAAGTGACTCGAACCCATACTCCCAGGAGCATCGCAACTGGTATGTACAAGACGCCTTAATCCACTTGACCATCACGACCGGACATAATGAGGTGATAGCCGAAGCTATTTGAACCACCCCACCGCCGGCACTCGGATGGTAATCTTGGGCATAGCATTTTACCAAATCACCTCATTCTTTGGGGCACACGTGAGGAACACAAATGCGAACAAGCCTGAATGGTCCCCAGGACAATATGCAACTGAAAACTCACACCCCAGAAGTGACTCGAACCCATACTCCCAGGAGCAACGCAACTGGTATGTACAAGACGCCTTAATCCACTTGACCATCACGACCGGACATAATGAGGTGATAGCCGAAGCTATTTGAACCACCCCACCGCCGGCACTCGGATGGTAATCTTGGGCATAGCATTTTACCAAATCACCTCATTCTTTGGGGCACACGTGAGGAACACAAATGCGAACAAGCCTGAATGGTCCCCAGGACAATATGCAACTGAAAACTCACACCCCAGAAGTGACTTGAACCCATACTCCCAGGAGCAACGCAACTGGTATGTACAAGACGCATTAATCCACTTGACCATCACGACCGGACATAATGAGGTGATAGCCGAATATATTTGAACCACCCCACCGCCGGCACTCGGATGGTAATCTTGGGCATAGCATTTTACCAAATCACCTCATTCTTTGGGGCACACGTGAGGAACACAAATGCGAACAAGCCTGAATGGTCCCCAGGACAATATGCAACTGAAAACTCACACCCCAGAAGTGACTCGAACCCATACTCCCAGGAGCAACGCAACTGGTATGTACAAGACGCCTTAATCCACTTGACCATCACATACCAGTTGCCATCACATACCGTCTTGTACATACCAGTTGCGTTGCTCCTGGGAGTATGGGTTCGAGTCACTTCTGGGGTGTGAGTTTTCAGTTGCATATTGTCCTGGGAACCATTCAGGCTTGTTCGCATTTGTGTTCCTCACGTGTGCCCCAAAGAATGAGGTGATTTGGTAAAATGCTATGCCCAAGATTACCATCCGAGTGCCGGCGGTGGGGTGGTTCAAATAGCTTCGGCTATCACCTCATTATGTCCGGTCGTGATGGTCAAGTGGATTAAGGCGTCTTGTACATACCAGTTGCGTTGCTCCTGGGAGTATGGGTTCGAGTCACTTCTGGGGTGTGAGTTTTCAGTTGCATATTGTCCTGGGGACCATTCAGGCTTGTTCGCATATATATATATATATATATATATATATATATTTATATATATATATTTATATATATATATTTATATATATATATGTCGTACCTAGTAGCCAGAACGCACTTCTCAGCCTACTATGCAAGGCCCGATTTGCCTAATAAGCCAAGTTTTCATGAATTAATTGTTTTTCGACTACCTAACCTACCTAACCTAACTTTTTCTGCTACCTAACCTAACCTATAAAGATAGGTTAGGTTAGGTAGGGTTGGTTAGGTTCGGTCATATATCTACGTTAATTTTAAATCCAATAAAAAAAAATTTACCTCTTACATAATGAAATGGGTAGCTTTATCATTTCATAAGGAAAAAATTTGAGAAAATATATTAATTCAGTAAAACTTGGCTTATTAGGCAAATCGGGCCTTGCATAGTAGGCTGAGAATTGCGTTCTGGCTACTAGGTACGACATATATATATATCTACGCACACAATTATATGTTTGTGTACTCACCTAATTGTGCTTGCGGGGGTTGAGCTCTGGCTCTTTGGTCTCGCCTCTCAGCCGTCAATCAACAGGTGTACAGGTTCCTGAGCCTATTGGGCTCTATCATATCTACACTTGAAACTGTGTATGGAGTCAGCCTCCACCACCTCACTTCCTAATGCATTCCATTTATCAACCACTCTTACACTAAAAAAGTTCTTTCTAATATCTCTGTGGCTCATTTGGGCACTCTGTTTCCACCTGTGTCCCCTAGTGCGTGTGCCCCTTGTGTTAAATAGCCTGTCTTTATCTACCCTATCAATTCCCTTGAGAATCTTGAATGTGGTGATCATGTCCCTCCTAACTCTTCTGTCTTCCAGCGAAGTGAGGTTTAATTCCCGTAGCCTCTCCTCGTAGCTCATACCTCTCAGCTCGGGTACTAGTCTGGTGGCAAACCTTTGAACCTTTTCCAGTTTAGTCTTATCCTTGACTAGATATGGACTCCATGCTGGGGCTGCATACTCCAGGATTGGCCTGACATATGTGGTATACAAAGTTTTGAACGATTCCTTACACAAGTTTTTGAATGCCGTTCTTATGTTGGCCAGCCTGGCATATGCCGCTGATGTTATCCTCTTGATATGGGCTGCAGGGGACAGGTCTGGTGTGATGTCAACCTCCCCAAGTCTTTTTCTCTCTCTGACTCACGAAGAATTTCATCTCCCAGATGATACCTAGTATCTGGCCTCCTGCTCCCTACGCCTTTCTTCATTACATTACATTTGCTTGGGTTAAACTCTAGCAACCATTTATTCGACCATTCCTTCAGCTTGTCTAGGTCTTCTTGAAGCCTCAAGCAGTCCTTCTCTGTCTTAACCCTTCCACTGCTCAGGGGCCCTGAGGACATTTACACCCCTGTGCGCAAGAAAAAAAAAATTCTAAAAAATTATTTCATCTTCTTAAAATGTTAATTTGTGTTCCCTGAGAACGGGGAAAAAAAAATCGTAGGTGACATATTTTGGGCGAAATTGACCAAGGAAGTCTGGCAAAAAAAGGGCGTTGACAGAGCGGTAGTC